AAAAAAACTGAGTAGTGCAATGTAGTTGCTAAATGTTTTTGCTTAATACTTATACAGCGAAACTAAAGTAGTGAAGAAAAAAGTTATTTCAAGGTCCCAACACCGACATCATATTTTCAGAAATAGAAAAAATATGAAAAGATCCCAAACAAGCATTTTTCTTCCATTACGATGTAATTCAAAAAATGTTTTAAGATGAGCAAAAGAAAAAAAATAGTCTGAAAAAAAAGTTGTTAAAATGACCTAATAATTAAGTGAGCGTAGCCGTCATCGTTCATATCATCCTGAACCCGCTGAAAGACATCTCTCTGAATCTCAAGTTTTGTTTCTTCGTTGAGCCCATCTACCTTATGAATAAACACCTGGAATTATACAATGCAGGGAGACGATAATCTATAATAACAGTGATGGCATTTTGCATGCGGTGAAAAACGTGACCAACTGGCAAAAAAGCAGCTAGACATTGAAAGGAACCTCGAAATTAATATTTGGGTTGATGCTGTATGCTCGTTTAAAATAGTCACACATTTTCTTGATGGTTTCTGAATATTCATCCTAAAAGAATTAAGAAAAGAGTAGATTTAAAAATAAAACTTCCATAGAGTCTCTAGTAGGAGCTATAAAGGTCATCAATCTGCTGAATATCAATGCGTAACTTTCTACGCCTGAAACATTCCGGCAAAAATCCTACGACCGTGCCATATAAATTTTTTAAAGGAATAGAGAAAAAAATCAGAAACCAAAAAAGCTGTAAGTTCTTCTCACCCGTGCTATTAAACCATTCCTCGGGTAAAATCTACAAAACATCGTTTTAAAAATAGATATCAGTCAATCACTAGAGTACAAAAAAAGCTAAAAAAATTTCAAGTGTTAACTCATAATCAGTTATTAACTGCCGTGTAGTCCTCAAAAAAATTAATTTTTTTCCTTCGCCTTTATTTCATCATGTGAATAGTCCTGTTTGAAGCCTGTAAAATCATAAAATCTTAAGTAAAACAAAGAACTAAATTCCTTCACAATCCCAAAAAGCACTCCGCACCCTTCCTCTTACACCACACGCCGCAGTAGCTGTAATCAGATTCAAGCAGAACTTTTATAACAAAACAGGTTTTCAGTACTGCTCATGGTTAATTTTCCGCTTCAAAAACTAGTGGCTCTGCAATACTCAAATGTGCAAAAAAATTTCAAGAAATGAAAAGAAAATTTGAAACACCCAACCATATAATCTTACAAAACTTCTCAGTTAAAGTTCCCAGCGTCCAGTAAGAAAAAAAAAAAGCCCACTAAATTAATCATTTGATAGGTGAAGAAACACTAGAATAAGTACTTACATTAACTTCATCGGGCTCTAAATGATCGCACTTCGAGTATGGAATCTAAAAATCAACTTAATGCTGGTGACTGAAAATATTTAATGCAGATGACTTTTAAATACTCACCTGAGAATCTAAGACAAACAAAAGAGCTCCACATCTTTTAAATGTAGACTGCGACTCCAAAGCATCATCAAAAGGACTGATTTGGCCAGGAAATTCAATTGTTTCGAAGTTTATAAAAGAATTAGTCACAGTGTCTCGAGAAACTCTTGGTGTGCTTTCAACAAAAAGCGTTTCATTCGGCGACATTTTGTTGAATACAATTTTTCGAATAGACGTTTTTCCGCTTCTAAAGTTAACTTCTAAAAAAATTTTGCATGCAAGAAAACTGTAAAAATTAATAAAGATAACTACATTAAAGTGACCAGTTTGTATTAAAACTTTTAGAAAACTCGACTCAAAAATCTTGTATTTGAGGTTCTCAATTAAAATCTGTAAGCGCAAGATACTAAAGGCACTAGCAACTTTTGCACTGACAAGATCTTCACTTTACAGAAACCAAGCTTTTGCCAAATAACGCTGGTGCAGTTATGAGCAAATCGTTCCTTTTAAAACCAGCTGCTTCAAAATTTAGTCTGCTTGGTCATCACTACACCCCTCATTTCTCTTACATTGTAAAAACTACAAATTCTAGGCTGAAGTTTGTCTAAAGCAGTAGAATGGAATCTTACCTCTTTAAGTTGCAGAAAAAAATAAGCTAAAGCTATAAGCACTGTGTGGAAAATACGTAATATCAAAAAATACTTAAAAAAAACTTCTTGCACCTTTTTTGGCCCATCAATATGATACTCGGCTTCAAGTCTCTTGAAATGGCATCTCCTTCGGGAAAACCATATCCGAAATCTCCTTCAAATTCATAATCATCCTCTATCCACAATTTGCTGTCAGATGGAAGATCCGATGAAGTATCTGAAAGGTTAGGCGAAATTGAAGTATGCTGAAAGACCATGCACCTCAATTGTATTTATTCCTGCAATTCCCAAAAATAATAATAATACTTCCTAAAATCAATTTTGTCATTAAAACCATGATAATTTCCTCAAATTAAAGGAACTGTAGAGCC